TGCTGCTCTGCTTGTGCAGACGTGCCTCACCCTGCAGGGCGCTGAGCAAGGCCTGGAGAACCGCTCAGGCAGGAGGAAAGGCATTGCCCACACACAGCGCAGCAGGGCGCAAGGGGGAAACTGCATTTACAACAGTGTCCAGGGAACACAAAGCCCATTCAGCTCAAGGGAGCATGCAAATCTTGCAGGTGAAAACCTGTGTGGCTTCAGACGAACAAACGGCGCTCCTCCAAGAGCCCTTTGGATGTGCCACAGCCCAGCCAGAGCCACCCCTGCTGGTGCAGGATGTGTCCCCACGGTGGGAATGTGGCACCCTCATCTCTGAGGAGCAGCACAGCAGCAGCCTGTCCCTTCCCCCTGCTGCTGCCTGAAACAAAAGCTTAATTAACTACAGCCCGCTGTCTGCTTGGAGTGATAAATCTAAAACCCAAGAAGGGTAATAATGCAGTGAATCATCTATGGAAGCTGAGAAACAATGGCCCCCAAAAATCAATATGCTGAAGTTCTATGTACACATACACGTGTATGTCTGTTATTATTTTGAATCATATGGATTGGGCAGCAGCAGGGAAAAGAGAGGACCAATTCAGCAGCCATGGACTTTCTGCTCCAGCCCTGCACCCTCCAGTAGGTTGCCCAGAGAGGCGGTGGTGCCCCATCCCTGCAGACAGCCAAGGGCAGGGATGGGCTGTGAGCACTGATGGAGCTGTGGGTGTCCCTGCTCAGGGCAGGGGTGGCACCAGATGGCCTTTAGGGTCCCTTCCAGCTCCAACCATTCCATGATTCTATGATTCAGTACCACCAAGCCCCAGGGCTCGGCCCCTGCCCACATTTCTTCTCACCAGGCCATTGGGTCTTTGTGAAAAAAGAATGATTGCATTGGAAGAGGATCACAGCGAGCCACCAAGCAGTAATAGATGGTGACAAGCCACTTGTCTCAAGTTCTCCCCATGCACAATTTTGCCCTTGAGGTAGGGAATATAATTTGATTGCAGGAGCTGCAGTGCCCAAACGCTCTGGCTGATAAGATCACTTACAACCGTAACTCCTCCATCCTCCTCAAGCTGTGGCTGGGGATAAGGGCCCTCCTCATTGGTCTCTAACAACTCCACTCCCTCGCTGGCTCAGCCTCAATTACTGCACTGTGCCTCTGAGGGAAGGCTGAGGATGGGGAAAACACAGCTCCTGGGAAGCCTGAGGCCCCACTGCGTGCCCAGGTCCCAAAGCTGCTGAAAGAACGAGAGTCAGGAAGGGATTCTGCCAACAGAACCCAGCACCCAAGTGGGGACACAGCCTGGTCAGCACAAAGCACAGCATCCCACAGCTCCCATCAGCTCAAGGTAACCTCAGCACAGCTCTGCATTGGGAATTTGGAATGCTCCCACCTTGCCAGCCCATCAGCACAGTCCTTCCTTTCCATTAGCTGCTAATGCACTCAGAGCTCAGGAAAACAGAGCAGAGGATCGCTCCTTAGATCCCCACAGGATTACGTGCTTTGAGAGCGGAAGAGATGCTGAATTTCTCTTATTCCTCTTGGAGAAGGGAATTAGTGTATTTTTCTTATGGTGTTACTGACAAACAGCGCTGACTTTGGCTTAACCAAGGGAAAAAATAAAAACAAAAGGTGAAAGGAAGGTCCCCACCAGCAGTCACTTCCTGACTGCTCTGCTGCAAAGGAAGATGCCCAGAGGAAACAAAAGCAGCAATTACAAATTAGAGAGGGAGGTGTGCAGTGGAGCTTCAATGTGCTCCCACATCTCTGCAGAGCACTGCTGGAGCCACGTTCCCCCCTGAGACAGCCAGCAGGGACACCTCACAGCAACGGTAGCTCTGGGCAGACCCCAGCAAGAGGTGCATGAAGGGGGGGAAGACGCTGAGCCCCATCCCCAGGGGATGAAGGCATCCTCCTTTGGGTGAGCTTGGTTGAGGCTTAGCCCACAAGTCAGAGCCACTTATCTCCATTCCCCATCTCACAAACCATCCCACACCCTGATTTCTCTCTCCTAATGAAGCCCCAGCAGGACCAGGCTCCAAGCAGGGCTCTCTGCTCTCCCGTTTTAGAAGCAAGAGGCAGAAGAGCCCAGTTTGTGCTGGGGCCACTGGGTGCCCCCACTGCAGCACACCCTGCACTCCTGCTGCATTTCCCCCCGCCAACCTCCACAGCCCTGAGCCCTCCTGCACCCCAGGGGCTGTGCAGAGAAATGGCCATTCAGAGCAATGGGGAGCTCCATCCCCACCAAAGGGCATCCAGAATCACCCAGCAAATCATCCGCTGACCAGTCTGGATCATGAAACAGCAGTGAGGAACCCCAAGATACGGGCTGGCATCACACAGTGATGAAAACAAACATATAAACCCTCAGACACCAAAACCTGCATGAAGAAGAATGTTCCCTTTTCACGTAAAACGAGCGGAGATCATTCTAGATTTTTATGATGATGATTTTAGAAGGGAAATAAGCATATTTCAATCCAGTCAAGAGTGAAATTGAGTTTAACAACAAAGCAATTCCTATTAGTAGAGACCCAAGGGAAAAAAATAAAATACAATTCAGATGAATAGAAAACTCAGAGAAAGAAATGCACCAGACAACGTGAAACTGGGAGCTCCAAGCAGCTTTGCCTTGCTGCTGACCACCAAAGCTCACAACGATCTGCCCCACTGCTCTGCTCTCTGTGCTTGGCCATGCCATGCAGAAGGGCTTTGTGCTGCTTTGCTCCTCATGGTGAGTCCTCCTCCTGTTGCACAGGATGTAGGGTTAAAAACTGGAAGCGTGAACGGCCATAAAGTATCAAATCTGGGAGCGATTACGCTGCCCTAAATCTTTATGGGCTTTAAAGATTAACTCCAACAGGCAGCTCTGCTTCTTTCTCTTCGGCAGGACGTTAATATGGAGATGAATCAATATTGATCACAGTGTATATGATTAAGTGGAATTTTTTGGACCATTTCCTTTCATTTTGCTTTCTTTCCGTTGCTCATTTCCTACAGACAAGCCGATGGCATTGAGCTGCTGCAGGTGTCAGCACTGGGGTCAGCAGGTACGGCATCACAGAGCCTACAGGCAACACAGTGTCCCAGTGAAAAGCAGTCCCAACCCCTTTGAAGCCAACAGGGGCTCCTGAAGGCTGGGCAGGAAGGAGCTGAGGCAGCAGCTCCCGCAGCATCCACGAGGATTGATGAACACCAACAGGAGCAGCAGCCAGCCCTCGATTCGGCCCCAACACCTGCAACGAGACTCTTGCAATTACTGCTTTGTCTCCTCGATACTGGTAAATAATTCAGGCAAACTCCTCTTTTTCACTTTTGTTTTCATTTTAATTAATCCACATAGAATTTGGCCCTCCGAACATAATCACAGCAGCGCAGGAACAGCAGGTAGAGAATCTCATTACCCAGCTTACCAGCCAGATCCTGCAACCATTATTAATAGAGACTTCACCGCGTGGGGAATTAATAAAACCTGATGGTGAGGGGGAGGGAATGCTTCTCCTGAAGCACGTCACCCTCTGCCTTGTCCCAGGGAGAAGGCAATGCTGGGGATGCTGTGCTCCATGGGGCTCCATCATGCTCTCAACAGCACTTTCTGGGGTCTCCATTCCCTCCAAGCCCAGCAGTGCCATCTCGCCATAGCTGCCATTACCATGCATGGGCTGGGGAAAGCCTCAAGAGCCAAAGTAAGGAGAAATCAGGAGGGACATCCCTACGTGTCAGTGGGATGCAGCACGCGTCCTCGTGGCACAACATCCATCCCTACCCTTCAGCACACCAAGGAACTGTCAGCACTGCTCTGGTGGCTTTGCAGAGGTAATGGCACCCCAAGGTCATAACCCACGAGTGACACAATAGGGATCAGCCCCATGTCCACAACTCAGTGCTCAACTCCTGCTCCTGAACAGAGGTGCACAGAATCATTAATGGGCAGAAAAGACCTCAAGGTCGTCTAATCCAACCATCAGCACTCTCTGGACACAAATATGCAGGGACCTACACAAAAGCAACTGTTGGTGGCACCTGGAGGAAGAAGTATGGCGTCAGGACTTCTTCCCAGACACCCTGTTGCTGCTGTGCTGGATCAGAGAGGACAATCCAATGAATATTCCCAGAAATGCCCAAGAAATGGGCAACTGGCCTGGGGAAAATGCCCCTGGTCCCATACTGGGCACTGCAGAGAAGCCCTGGGAGAACCAGCATGCTCAGGTCTCGGTTTCTGCAGGACTATCAGGACTCCAATCAGGCTCCCAGGTGTTGCAGAAGGAAGACAGGTGACCCCCAATCCTCTTTTAGAAAACGGTGCCACCAATCCCCTCTCCTAGCAATCCCCAGATTCACTTCAGCTCTGGGCTTTTTTGCCTTCATCAGCCACGCTTAGGCAAACAGCAGTACATCAATAAGCAGCTCTAATTAGAGGTGCTAATAGCGCTGGGAGCTTGGGGAAGGAGCAGCAAGGCGGGAGGGAGAGCGATTTGCAGGCTGAGGAGGAGCAGGAGATGCAGCACGCCAAGGATTTGCCTGTTCTAAATGCAGGGAGATACTCACACCCAGCACGGAGACAACCGAGCTGCAGGAGCCCACGTGAAATTGCCGAGGAAAGATCCCCCGTGCTGACTATCTTGAATTATTTATGCAAATGTTATTATGCATTCATACTTTATGGAAGCCTTGCAAAGCCGTGATCCTGCTTGTTCACAACTCCTTTCCAGAAAGATCTCGAGCTGTAAGAGTGGGGGCACAAAGGGTGCAGGTTGCACTTCAGGGACCTCGCCTCCATGCAGCATGGAGCAGCAGTGGAATGGCAACGCTCCTGGGGTGTCTGACCCTACAAAACCAGGCTGCACGGCCACATGCAGGGAGCCACATATGGCATAGGTCCTGCAGCACCATCCCCTCTGCCCAGCACAGTGATGCCAAGCAGAGCAAGAGGACAAGAGTCCCTCTGCATCATGCAACTTCCCAGCACCACATTCTGATTTTGGGGCAGCAGAGGCAGCACCCTCACCTGCTGCAGTCTCCATCCCTGTATCCCTGGAAACTGGAGCTGGAAGGAGGTGGCATGGCTCCCTTTGCAAGAAGGGGGAAGAGGAGCAGTATGGCTTCTTGATCCAAGGATGGAGATGGCTCCTCCATCACTCCATGCGCAGCGCTCCTCCCGGGAGATCACTGGGGCTGCTGGGGATAAAGAGGAACGAAAGGAATAGTTGGGAAGGTGCTCAGGCTGTGCAGAAGGAGGACACGTGCTGCTGACCAGCAGAGCAGGTGTATAGGCAAGGACACTGGAGCTTGCAACCCATGGGGTCACCCCACACCCCAGGAGGGCCACCAGCACTGCCTCCCCGCTGCCACACTCCGGTCTGAGTTTTTATTTCTTTACCTTTGGAGGCATGCCAGGAAAGGCTCCCCCAAGCCAGGCTATCTGTGCCTCTGGTTATTGCATATGTTTTAATTACAGAGCCTTGCCAAGAACAGAGGCCAGAAACTCAAGCTCCAGTGATGCGCAGCGGGGCAACGGAGACACACAGGCTGAGCCATGCTTTGTTGTGCTGCTCAGTGCCTCGTTTATCACTCACCAACCACACAGGCACAGTGAGCCCACCAGCTCCGGGCAGGGAACGAGCAATACCCCTCGTGGGCTGGCATTCATCAGGCTTAGCCCTAAAGGATAGGGCAGCATCACGCAGGTTGGGGATGAAAAGGCAAGCATCAGCTTGGGAACTCAGCACAGGGCTTCCTCCGGGAGCTTGCATCACTATCAGTTAGCACTGCACTGGTGATTTATTAGGAGAGCTGCTGTCTGCGACAGCTGCGAGCCGTAAGGCTGTAGGAGCAGCATCTGCTCCAGCAGGGAGGAGTTGAGGTGACTTATGGGGGGAAAGCTGTTGCTTCAGCACAGGGCACGACCCTCCTGGGCATGAGTTCCCCCGGCTGAGAGCTGCCACCGAGCATGAAGGGTGATGAGCAGCACTTAGGAGCAGAGCACCTTTCTCAGCCAGGACGCGATGCCCAGTGCTGGGACTGTCACCTCTGCACGCAGCCACCGAGCCCCAAGGGCTGGCAGGCGATCCCTGGGCTTCTGCAGGACACAGAGCAACACCTGAATGCTACAGCAGGCTGTTTAGAAAGCACCTTTGATTAAGGGCTGCAAGGATGCTGCCCACACACTTGGGAAACCTGAGCAGCCTCCTGTCCCAGCCCACAGCTACACGTAGGGCTGCTCCACAGGAACAGGGCTCCTCCAAGCAGAAAAAAAATGAGTCTTTTTCAATGTCTTTTAAGGACACAGTGCCTTCTTTAAAATTACTTGGTTTTTTTTGCCTGGAGACCAATGTGTGGCACCCAAACGCAAGGAGGGGGGGGATAAAACTGCAGGTCTATTAAAAATGATGAAAGACACCTTGACAGTGTCCCTTTAATGTAATTAAAAGCCTATTTAAAGGCATGCCAAATGTTTACTAATTAAACGAGCGCTTCATTCTGTAGACATAATTTAAAAAAAACGTAATTGTGATACTTTTAACAAATCCAGGGCTTTTAAAGAAATAATTACCTGGCCAAAATGAGCTGCTAAATTAAACCATCCTTTACCTGCTGTTACTTTTCTTCTTTTCATAGAATCGTTAAGGTTGGAAAAGAGCTCCAAGATCATCCAGACCAACCGTTCTCCTACCACCAGCACTGCCTACAGCCTTTGAACTCATCACAGCACATGGACACCTCTGGGATGGTGACTCCAGCACCACCTCCCTGGGCACCACGTGCCAGTGCACAACACGGCTCTGCATGGCTTTTTCTAGAGCACAATGCCACTTATCCAAGCTGACACCAACCCAAACCCAGGTGGTGAAGGCACAGCGGTGGCTGAGCATCTGCAGGCTCCTCATTGCCAGCTCACAGGGCCCTCTGCTAGCAGATGGAGAGTCTGATGGCATGTGTTGATAATGGATTAGGATGCTCATCTTTGATCTTGACTTTCTCCTCGTTAGCTGATTTCTGGAGGGCCGCTGCGGGGAGGTGTTACAAGAGATTTATTAACAAGATGAACTGCAACACTGGGAAAAGCTGCTTCTGCAAAATGCATGTATAGATATAAATCCACCCCCTGCCTGAATGCACTCAGCACCTTTCCCCCCACAGGAAGCTCGAGCAGATTTGCCCACTTCATCTCTTTGGACTGATGGAATTTCATTGGTGCAGCCATCCAACGGTGTCTGAAATGCATTAATGTGCCAACAGGGGCAAATGTAAGCAAAAGTGAGGCACCCAGGGCAGAAGGAGCTGCAGCTAGGAGGGAGTCCCAAAGCACAGGACATGCAGCACCTCCAAAAAGAGCCCAGTAAGGCCAGGGATTATTCTAGTGCCCATGAATTTTTAGGAAGCTGTCTGAAAGGCCAGCATCTCTCCTCAGGAGCTGGGGCACGGAGGCACAGAGCTGAGCTCCATGCACTGCATCTCCTCTGCCCCTGTGTATGGCACGAGGTAATGCTGCAGGAGTGAGTGATGCTGCAGGGTGACAGCCTGAGCCCATCTTTCAGGCCCACACCGTCAGGATCCTCCCAAGGAAAGGCTTTTCTCAACAGCTCAAAGCACCACATCTGAAACAATCAAGAGCCTGCTGCATATTTAATCTCATGCTTCACTACAGGCCAAATAAATTGGCTTTCCTCTTAATCAACAGCAGCACACAGCATCACTGTGCCAGGCCCTGCCTGCTCTCAGGGCTGTCACATGAGCTGCCCTCTGAGGTGCGGACCCACAACCTATTCTCCTCCATCCACCAGCACATGGGGCATTTGCAAAAACAAGGCCCCACGTCGAGGGAGGACAGCACTGGGGGCAGCTCCTGTGCCTGCCTGCAGACCTGAGGATGATCAATGGCTCAGCATCCGAGCAGCAATTCATCTCAGCTGGCTGCGTGCTGCCTCAGAGCTGGGATGCAACACAGCCACCGCTTAGCCCGGCTAATTTCCTGTGCTGATGTTTCACCCACGGCCCCAGCAGGAGAGACTCATTAATTACAGAGGCTGGAATTGTCTTGCTGCTAGATAAGGGGGGAGGCAAACACTGGTCAGCAGCCATACAGGCCTGGCAGTGCAATATCCTGGCAGAAAACATGGCTACCAAGTGGCCCTGGGGGGCACAGCAGGGCAGTGGCACACACACCCCCCACCTCACTGCTCAGAGCCTTACAGCCCAGTCCTCAGCTCTACAGAAGTTGCTACAGAGAAGGACAAAAAAAAGCAATCAGTAATAATGAAACATTGTCAGCTCCCAGTCCAAACTTCTTTTTTGTTTAAACACATTTCAAGAACCTGCTGGCAGGTAACCCTGACTTACAAGGCAGGCTGCTGGACAAAGAGCTGAGCTGCATGGAATTGAAAGGCGGTTGCTGGCAGCGAGGAGCACAAAAAGGCACCTCCCAGGGCACTCAGGGAAGCACTGGACATCCCAGAGAGGAATACATTGGTTGGGGATGAGCTCTGAGATGGCAGCTCTGGAGATGTGCACACCAGACAGGCTGGGAGCAGTGACTCCAGCAGCAGCTCCACATGGGATGCCATTACCACGGGCACATAACTTTACTGTGTTGAAGTTTTCTAGGAAGGGGTTTATTGACAGCAGAAAATCAAGTATTTCACAGCAATGCTTTGTGGTAGAAAGCACTGAGCACTCTCTACATCTAAGTACTATTGACATGTTAAGTCTTTAATTCCACCAGAGACAAAACAACTTCATTTCAGAGTTCATTGATGATCCAAGAACACCATCATTCTTACTGAACACATCCTCTCATTAGAATATTGACCATCAAACTGCACCTCCAGCTGCTTGGAACATAGGGTGCTCCAATGCAGCCTCAGCCTGCAGGGTAAGTAGGTGCTCACGAGCATCACAGTGCTCTCTTCAGTTGCTGGCCCCTAAAGCCCAGCAAACCCCTCCATCAATGACAGCACGGCAAACCCTCACCTCATTTTGTTACCCACAAATGCTTTGAGCATGATGCTCCCAAGGCTGCAGGCTTCAGGTCCCCATCCCTCTGTTTGTTTACTGCAGTAGCAAATACTACATAAGTACTATTTTTATTGCCAAGCAAACTTTTGAATCCAATCGCTTTCTGCATGAAATGAAGCTCAGTGTGCATAATGCCCTCTCCTTCCCCTGCAGTCATTTTTTGTGCATGTATCAAATCACAGCAGCGCAGCCACACACCGACTGCTGAGCACCCGCGGGGCACCCAGCCCTGTCCTCTGCCACCGCCTGGCACAGGGCAGTGCCTCGCCAACACATCTGAGAATTTGCAGAATTAGGCTCTTATAAAGTATAATCATCATAATTACACATAAATGTCACTGAGCTCTGCCTGTGATTGCAGCTCGATTTCGCTCCGCATTGAGGTAAGGGCGGCATGTGAATGTGAGCACTGCAACGTTTGAAGTCTCACTCGTGTTGTGTTTTCTCCAGGAAGCCCAACTACAGCACAAGCACATGCTGGGCCACCAGTGCACAGGGAGAAAGCACCTTACAGCATCTGATGCACGGCTTGTTCCCACCCTGCGGCAACCGAGTGCAGAAGTGCATCAGAACAGCGGTCATTTATATTCTGCACAAGTATTTTACAGGAATATGCATAGTGGGAATGAAGTTAATTTATAAACATAGCCTGCAGATTTTAGATCAGAGTTACAGAGAAATTAGCAGCAAGGGAAAATGCTGAGCCTTCACAGCTGTCCTCCACCTGCACCATGCTCCATCCATCACGCTGCTCAAGCAGGGCAGAGGTGCCCTGGCAGCTTGTGATGCCATTCACCTCCTGCTCCCTTGTAGCACGGTGCTCAGCCCCAAGTGAGTGAGACACAGAGCAGTGGGCACACACAGCTGCTGGGAAGGTGTGAAACAAGCAGCAAGTCACTGTGACTGCCCAGCACTCAGCTGACACTGTCACTACCTCCAGGCTGGGGTCACATCATTGCACACCACCTCATCTCCAGACCACAGGGCCAACCAGCATCCACTTGTAAAAATGTATCTTTTTCATTTAAAGTAATAATAACCAGCAATTAGACACTTACTTTGATTGGAAAACATACAGTCGTGCCTATTCACGGGTTCAGTTGGAGGACTGTCTGCACTGCTACAGAAGAATCATTTTCTTTGCCTCCTACCATCACTCAGCATCGGAGCACTGAACCAAACGTCCTGTACCACTGTTACACCTCTGCAAGCATGAAACAAAGAATGATGTATGGTTGGGAGGTTCTCTAAAACAAGCTGTTATCTGTGCAATTACTCTGTTGGTTGTTTTTTTTTAAGTAAAGACTAATAATGATAACAAACTGTGCAGGTTAGGCTTTACTGCAAGATGAGTGGTTCCAGCAATGACCAGTCACCATTGCATTTAGTAAAGTTACTTAATTGAAACTAATTTCACTAAGTGACCTTAACGAATAGTTATTTCCCTTCAAGATGACAGGATGATTGATGCTTCATTTAAGGCACAAACCTTCTACTTTCCCCCCCCTTCATGACTCAACTTTGAAGCACAAACTTCTGAATGTCCTTTAATCCAAAGACTCAAAGGCTGTGTGTGCTGACAGCCGGCCTAAGAGGTGCTTTTCTAATTGCACACGTAAAGGATATTTCAGTCAGCAACCATATACAGATTCTCTCTGTCTGACAGCAGCACACAGAGGCTGCCCAGCCGTCATGAAATGGAGCCACAGAGGAGTCTGAAGAACCTGCAGTGGAGAAATAGAATAGTCTGCTTTCACTCAGTACACTCAAAATCAGTGTTATCATTAAGATAATTGTGTCTGAGCTCATTCTCAACTCACGTACCACCAAGTCTAACCCAAAGACGTCTCTAATTAAAGAGAAATTGCAACCATTAGACTTCTGCACAATGTCATCGTGTCATTAGGATCACTTGGAGGAGGACATCACCTCGTGACTCCATGCCCAGCATTCTATTCCGCCTTGTTTTCTGTGCTACTGGCCATCAGCAAACAACTAAACACTGCTCTAGAAATCCTCAGCAGCTCTCTCCGTGTGTGGCATGCTTCTCACACCCAGCCCAGCTCCCAGGAAACCTCAGCAGCATTGGCCAAAGGAACCAGGCTCCTGAAGTTAACTACAGGAGTTCAGGCAAGTGAGATTTTCCCAATTGGGTCAACAGACACAAGGCCCCAGATTTATAGTTTTCTGCACTAATTTTCTACTAAACTTAAGTTTCAAAGCAAACTCCACCACAGAGTTCTTTCCAGAATTGGCCACAACATAGAACACCACCAGCTGAAGGCTTCTCGATTTAAACAGGTACACAGTCATAGCACCATAGGGTGGTTGGGGCTGGAAGGGACCCTAAAGGCCATCCGGTGCCACCCCTGCCCTGAGCAGGGACACCCACAGCTCCATCAGTGCTCACAGCCCATCCCTGCCCTTGGCTGTCTGCAGGGATGAGGACACCATAGGAGGGCCTTTACTGCCATAGGGATCTCAGCAGAAGTTATCATTTCCTTCCCCTCAAATACCCCCTCCTAATTTAGCTGTATCAGCAGAAATTAGATCATGAAGACCACATTCAGAAAGAACCTTCTATAAGTGCTTCTCTTCCTTATCTCAACGTTCTTATGTAGATTGCACCAAATGAAATGAACACAACAGAAATAAAAGCGCATTGCTTAGTTACAAACAAGGGCTAAAGCTGCAGAAATTCTCTTTGCATACATTCCTATTGTATCAGAAGGAAAACCAAGTGACAAGACAGAAATGTGGATCAGCTTACACGATATGCATGAAAGACTAATTCCTAGCAGCATCTCTGGCACTCAATGTCAGGAATATCAGTTTTCATTTCCTCTTAGCATTTGTCTGGAGAACTTGGATGCGATATGTCCGGATATTAAACCTCAATAATAACATAAAAGGATAAGAGCAGGAAAAGAAAAAAGATTTTTCAAATAAACTCAAGCAAATGAATATGTAATTTCACTTATAAAGATAAAATCCCTAACATTAAAACAAAACCACGATACCATAATCACATCTGAAGCCCTCCCCCTCCCCCCAAACCTCCATGAAATGAACCCAAGCTCCCAACTCACATTAATGTGGAACTGTTCAAAAGCCAAGGAGGTAAAATGAATGGGGTCCATCCTCAGGGCTGGTAAACACTGATAGGAAGATTAAGAGATGGAATGATGACAGCTGCCAGCACTGCCATTCTTTAGACTGCTACGCCAAACATTCTGACCCATCCAACCACTGCGTACAGCTGTGTGGATTTTTTTTAATCACTCAATAAATCACAGAAATAAGTGAAGAAACAATCGTGTGTCATGGCTCGATCAACTGCAAACCTTCCCTTAAGATCCAAAGTTTAAAAGTCATACAGTTAACAGCAAATATATACTGAGATATTTCTCTCTCTCAATGTCTAACTCGTCACAGAGCAATAATACTTCAGTGCCCCCAACAGCCTTATGGCATTCTCTGTCATGGAGTCAGAGCAAACAGAACAGGGAAAGGGAAACAAAGAGAAATCTGATGTACAGAAGCACCACGTGTGCACAAAACCCAGTTCATCAGTAGCCCCCATTGCCAGCCTCAAAATGTTTGCTGAAACCACCCCGGATTGCTGGTTTTCCTGAATTTCTAATAAAATAGTTGATATAATTCTTATGCCACAGATGAACAATGCAAATTCATTAGAACAGACCGATTTCAGGAGTAACCTCACGAGAGCTGTTATCTAGCTAAAATGAAGCAGGGTCACTTTCAGTTACTCATTACTACAAGACCCAGAAATGATTCTCCCTCCCATGCACTGTAAGACAAAGTTGTTTCCTGCGAGCTTTGCCTTCTCTCGTTCATCTGTATGGGGAGAACAAGTCTCACAAATCAGAGAGGAAAGTAAGTGCCTGCATTTTTAAGAAGATTCTTTATCCCTTTTATATTTGAGAGAAAAATACAGATACATAGCAACAGGAGGACTGTAACCACTGCCAGCATCCTGTCACCTATACATCTTATGGAGCTCTGTGTACAAACAGCACGCTTCACATTACAGGATAACAGGGGTGGATAAGAGGTTTGAGTGCTGCTACTCATTTTTCATGACTGAATACCAAACACTTTCTCAGTTTGCCTGACAAATTGGAATGGCTTCAGTAACTCCTCACTCAGTGTGCGCCCTCATCCCATCCTTCCACGTCATCCATTACATCTCCTGGAAATATACAAAGGCTTTCCTGGCTGCCCTCAGATTTCTTTGCTTGCCAGTTGTTCAGGTGCCTCCTAATCCTCCCACTAACACCTTACTAAACTCAGAGCAAGAAAACCTAGAGCGAATTGTAAATCTTCTCCTATACCTCTAAAATAATCCTTCTCTGCTGTCTCATTATGCATGAGGACAGCTGTGCTTCATGGGAGCAGTGTTTCATATGCTCTGCAAGAACAGAAGTGACAGCAAATGTCACAGGAGACACCATACTCCCTCACCAAGTTTAACCTTGGGCACACCTATGTCTGTACGACACGCAGGAGCTACTAATGCATACTCCAAGCCAATATTTTTAAGTGCCTTTGAACATATAACAAGACATTTGCATTCTGACTGTGCATGAAAAGCTTGGGAAATGGTACTTTTCTGAGAATAGTTACACGGAGTGTCTAAAAAACTCCCACTTGCTCAGTGTTGTTTATCTGCTTTCAGCTGCATCGTGTTTATCTGCTAGATGGAAACAAAACAGCAACACAATGTCATGCAGACAGCTAAAAGCAAGGTGGGATGCACTTGCTGAGCGCAGGACATCACCATCTACAACCGTTCTGGATTAAAATTTAGTTGCCATGCCATTCAGCTTGTTTCCACATTAGGCAGAATGAGATTACAGTACAGTCTTCCCTAAATATACTGAAGGAAACAGCTGACATCAATCATCTCAGGTATTTTTAGACCATGCAGTAGAATAAACACCACAAGATGATTCTTAGAGATCACATTCTGACTCCAAATGCACTTTTAAAACGTATCTTTGGTAACATTCCCATCACTGAAACTTTCATCACCATCTGTGAACTGAAAAGAACCACTGGGACATCTGGGAGGGAAGCCTGCAGCCCTTCATGCAGCATTACCCTGAGAAGGTGTCAGCAGCTGCCCCACTGCAGCTCTACTCTGGGAGACGCTGGATGAAAGGCTGGTTTTGTGTCCTGGAGGTGACTGAGCAAAGCAAATTGTTCTACACAGGGATTTGAGAACTTCCAGGTAAAAGAAAAAGGTGACATTTCCTGCAGAAATGTTCCTGCATATCTAATTGTTAAAAAAAAATATCAATGCTGTGAATTGATTGCTCAGCTTTACAGATGGGTTCTGCAATACATTTTTGTGATTGCATTGGTCATTCAGTGGGAGAATTTAAGTGTTTGCAGAACTAGGATACAGGTAAAATAATTTGGGGAGAGAAAGAAAAAACTAATTCTGTAGTGGATGACAGTGAAATCAGGCCATTATACATTCAGATGTGGCTCAGAACAAAACTGTTCAATACACTGATCTCTATTTCCTTCCATTTCTAACACAGGATTTTTAAGAAGACGCACACCACACTCAGCTGATTAAAGCAAGGAAAAAGCCTTTCAGACTCAGCATTTTCTCTTCCTGTACTTCATGTTCAGTTTGAGGATTGGTGATTTATTAGTAGCTTCCTCCGTCGTGATCTCTTCAGCTTGATCCTTCCACCTTCTTGCATCACTTGTCAATAAATGTGCCTGTGCTCTTCCTTACAGGTGTGGGAAACTGAGATCAAATGCTGCTGTAGTCAGAGCCACGGGCAAGCAATGCTGCTGCCTTCCACTCCACTGCAAAGAAGGTGATTGTCCCAAAGAAACCAACAACCACCATGATCAGAAGCTGCCACTGCAGAAGGAAGTAGTTGCTGTAGAAAAATGCAACGGCAGCACAGATGGACTGATGGGGAAAAAAAAAGTGAAAGATTTTAAGTGGAGAGATCAGCACTGCTGCACAAGGTTACAGAGCTGGCAATACACACAGTTCAACATGCATCTTTAAGCATGCTTCTTTCGAAGAGACAGCAATCAAATTATACCACAGCATATGTCCCTAGATGACATACAACAGATTTAGTTTGTACTTCTTTAAGTAGAGTTCACAGCAGAAAATGAACACATTTGAAAAGCATTTGAAGCATGGCAATTTCAAAGCACTGTGTCTGGAAACAACGCAGCCAAGGCTTTAGGACAAAATCCAGAAAACCTATTTTCAGTTTTACAGCATCACAAACTATTTTCTACCAAAATACAGCTAGAAACTCAGACAACCACTCCTGCTCACTTGCAGCGTGTCCTTTTTACGGGTAAAAGTTTCATTAAAGCTGCATAAAGAGCATTCCCACACTTGTACATTCAGAAGGTTACGGGATGTAATACCTGAACAAACTTAAAGATGGCAAAGGCAGGAGCACTGTCTTCAGAATACAGGAATCCTAAAATGCTGAGGAGCTGGGTATTGAAGCAGCTGTCTCCCAGGCCCAGCAGAAAGCTGCAAAATATGGCCACCTCTTTGCTGAAGGAAAAATGCAATCAAATGTAAGAATCACTCATTCAAGCAGCTCACACAGCTACTGACTAATGTATGAACCTATGAACTACTTTTGACAGCCTTGGAAATGGAGAATGGAAGAAAGTTACCAAACTTTAAATTTCATTGGAAAAGAAGTGGGAACACTTGGCTGACAAAAAGAATAGTTTCATCAGATTTCAATTCCTTGAATGCTAAGGCTTCTGTCAGTATTACCAACAGTCAATTCTGCACTGAATTAGAACTGCTAAAATCTCATTTCGATGCCTGGAGTCATAAAGCCCACACAGCAGTGATCAAAAGCCAAGACACACATACAGTGAATTCAGCAGAACTGCAGGAACACGAGCAAAAGACCAATTCACTCAGAAAAACACTCCTATTAAAAACATACAGGCCCACATACAGGCACAAATGCTATTCACTGCAGCTGAGCAGCTGTGCCTGCACAAACTGACCACATTACTTTCACACAAATTAGCACAAATACACCCCAAAAACAGTTTGCACTGATAAGAATGCTCCCTATATTCTTCCCCTAACTAACAGACTTTGGACTTTGACAAGGAGCATTCAAACACATAGAGTGTAAAGCTGGTGTTCTATGCTACAGTCAAAATGAGTCCAACTTCCTGACAGCCAGCACAAGAGTTGTTGGTCACAGCTGTAAGAGTTATGTTCTCAAACAGTACAATTGCTACCAAATACCCTCGTGCTTCTTATTTTTTACACCATTTAAGCCTCTAAATTGAGTATGCACAAAAAAAGCTGTTTCAATGAGTTTGCTATGAGAAGTACAAGCTGTTTTATATGCATCTTGAGTTATAACAGCCAGAGTGAAGAGCTTACACACCTTGGAATCATATAAGCAATATCATCTGTTCCTTCCATAGGAGCAACAGGGGCATTGCTTGGCATGTTGACAAAAATTAAATAAAAGGCAATGAAGTGGACAATGATGCCCAGCATCACAATGGGGTTCCTGCCAAAGCGATTCTTCTTGCTCAGTAAACCAAAGATTCCTCCACCTGTAGGGATGGAAAAGATGGGAGACTTACATCAGAAACAAAGATAGAAAGAACGGGATTGAATTCCAAGTAATGAAAATTAAAAATAGACTGAAAATATAGGTTGTAATATCCCTGTGTTTAACAACTGAAGCACTGACAGACACGAAAGCAGCCCCGAAGTGTCTGCCAGCTCTGCCACACCAGCTCTCCTGGTGACAGAAGCTCTGGGTTGCCAGAGGTGTTCAAGACCTGCAGGCACATTTCTCAGGTGGATGCTGATGAAGACACTCAGTCTTTTCACAAGGTGTCGTGCCAGGACTTCTGTTTCCTCCTCACAACACTATGGAGGGATGATGTCCTGCCTAACTTTGTTGATTGCAAAAACGTGTGCCTCTCTACAAATCCAAGTTGCTCATCAGCAAATATTTCCTTTTGACTCACCTAAAATTTCCCCAACACCAATAAAAATCCCAGAGAGACCAATGAGGCTTTTCTCTTCTCCGCCAAACCTATTCACAGCACCAATGCATGTTCCATACACTCCAGAAAAGAACGTTAACTCCAAACCTTTGAAGGAAAGCAAACAAGATTGACAAATGAGGGCTTTCTTCATAAGCTTTGCAATAGTTTTTATCTAATGTTCTTCCCTAAAGTAACTTTCAAACACATATTTTAAAGAGGTAAATGTAACAGAAACAAACAAGAGGAGGTTTAAGCTATGCAATCATTATACTTTTCTATGCTAGCTCATGGGAGTAACATAAAAAAAAGTCACATAATTAGCATCAGATGCACTAAGGCTCAGTACTGCTGCTGTTGACACAATCCCTATAAACAGTTTGTATTTCTGCCTCTCCAAGAACTTTGGAATTTCATTCAAACAAGAACCACTGTGTGAAACAGCACTTAGTAACTGAGGAAATGAAACTATTTCACTTTAAGTCTTTTTTTTTTTCCAGATTATAGTATTTCTGAGAAAGACCCCTGCACCCCCAAATCCCAAACAAGAGGAGTTTAAGCTCAACTGCTCCTTTCCCACAGATGCACAATGAAAGCAGAGCAAGAACAACTACTTGTCAGAAATCTTTCTTTCTACTGCTGATACTGAAAGGTGACACATTTAAGTCCAAAATAAGGAACCATTAGTCTCAAAATCACAGAGTCTTTAGACAGACAGCAATTATATTTATAAGAACCCAAGAGTTATGCTTAAAGAAAAACAGAAAATAGAACTCTCATTCCCCTCCTCTGTCTTTTGCTATGGCAAAAACACAGCAGGCCATACGTTTGTCTGCCAGCAGCACGCTGTGTAACGCTGCATGCGACCTGCAGAATGAGCTCTCAACAGCCCGATTAATCAAACCACACCTTTGGAAGTAAAAGCCTGCGCCAGTCCTACGGGACTTCCCGTTTCCCCACGAAGTGGCAATGTCGACCAGGAGCCACCAGATGGCAGCACGCAGTGCTTTCAAGCTGGACTGATTCTCTTCTACAAAACCTTCCGTACCAACCTCAGATTTCATCACGCAACACCCCGTGCCCTTGCCTGGTTATCTTGTTTCACACTCCTGTTGCACTGAACATCTACAAGGAATTCAAGTTAGTTCATTTGGCTTAACTATAAAAACCAAAGCCAAATAGGTAGGGAAAAAAAACAGAAATCCTTCAAGATCTTGAACCTTTTAACAGTCATTTTGTGGAATAACTGCTTTAATATATGGTACAAATAAATGCACTTCTATTCTACAGCTCATACTTTGGTCTAACAGTGGCAGATCAAGTTCAAACTGAAGTTGGTGAAGAGAGTTCCTGCCACAGTAAATACCAACGGCACCTGAAACATTCAAGTACTGTTTGCAGAGACACACAGGTCACCACTCTGCTCTGTGGACACTGTTTAAAACTCCAAACGATGCCCAGCAGTGCTGCACAATCACACACTGTGTTTGCCTCATACCTGTGTAGGCTGTTGTAACACTGAGGAGCAGAATCTCTTTCGTGAAGCTTAGCTTTATGGATCTCTCTGGAAAGACACAAAGGAGATTAATGTGACTTCCACTAACATACTAAGAGCACCTGCCCTTTCTTTGCTCTCTGCTTAAGCCAAAAATAAGTTATTTCAACTGTGACTTTCTTGCAATGAGAAAATTAGAGTGCTAAGCATACAGACCTTCATTTGCACTCTAAAACAACGATTTGATCTCAGATCTTTTTGTAAGAAATGCAAGGAGGAAAATATTAAAGAGGGAGATGTGCAGTTTTCTACCAGCAGACAATTTATTCCTCACTGTATTTTTGTACTCACTGTTCATGGCGATTAACTCCTATAAGCATATTTTGTCCATGAACATCTCCATGATCTTAAAACAAGCAGACACTGACAGACCGTATCAAACGTGGTGGGAACTGATCAGTTCAGTTCAAAAACATTGATTTAAAGTGTTACCATCTGGTGACAAAAAGTAATATGCAGCTTCTCCTTTATACTGTTTTGTTGGGTTTTTTTCCTTCTTTTTTTTCTTTTTACTGGAGAAGACAATTTAACTTTCATTCACAAGCGTTCCCCGGGGGTGACCTGTTGTTTTTGAGCTTGTCTGCAGAAGGAATGCATTGCAAAGCAGCTTGCATCTCAAACTCAAATTCCTCCTGCACTATACTAGCACAGAGGTGATGTCTGTTACACTTTCTTTGCTTGCAGACAGACTTTGGTTGTATGACACCATCATGGGAGAAGCACTCTAGAGTCCAGCCAGCCACCTCACACCAGCTGCACACCAACAGCAATCTGCCCACAACTTCAACGTTTCCAAACTGTTCCATTTGCAAACCTTGTTTACACTTGACTTAAAGTCACAAATATTCACACAGAAAACTCAGCTCCTATTAGGTTCAAAACCTCATCAGCCCCATATCCACACACGAACTGTCATCTCTAGTCTGAAAGTCATTGCCATTTGGCAGTCTCTTTTCCCAAAGGCCAGATCTAAATTTCTGTTTTTCAAGTGCAGTAACTGAAATGCATTCTTAACCTTATTTATCTGCAACCTTTTGTTCTGAGTGGTTTGTACATTTTCACATATCAGCAGAACCAAGGAGAGCTGGAAAGGATTTGTCAGGATTTTTTGAAGCAGCTTGTATGTTCAGCAGTACTTACTGAAGGCATCCACTGCTCTCATCAGCTTGTTTCGTGCAGACCTGGGTGCATAAATGACTTAGTCAAAAAAGAAAACAAATAACCACCTCGTATCATTGCACTGAAGGCAGATGAGTTCATTCTTCAAGATGTCTGTACATTTTTTAGGCCTGTATTATGTACTGAAATATGCTAATGCATTGTTATTGGAGACTCTGAACTACTGACAAAATGCATCTGGCTTTCTGAGCAAGGGAACACCATTCAAAATTTAACCTAAGATATTTCCTTCTGAGCAAGTTTAGAAATGGCTGGCAGAGCTTTTTCACCAGCACACACTTGTTGACATTTTTCTAACATTATTTTAATAAAACAAAAATATCTAAAATGATGCCTCAAGCAAAACTGCACTGTGTCTGCCTGCCTGTGCACTTCCAGCGTACTCAGAAGTTGCATCTGAATATTTGGAGTATATGACAAATATATTAGTATGAAAATATAACTTAGAAAAAGGATGGGAATAATTTCTGCTCATTCCAGCCCTTAACCTGGACTGATTAGACAAAGAAAGACTACAAAAGCCAGATGCACATTTAACAATCAGTGGAGAAAAAGAGGTAAGTGGTATCTTTCCAAAGGCACTACTCATTAATGGAAAAACTTGATGTGCATTACCTCACTCCATCCTTGAAAATGTCATATGCAGAACATTAACTGATTCTCACTTGTTCACATACAGACACTTTTCTATCAAATGTGTGCATTCTACAGGTTGTTCACAACATTCAGGCTTCCAGTTCAGAGGGGAAAGTGAAACTGACACTCCATTAAGAAGCAGGGACACATAAGTAAGTACATGTGACAATAAATCATTGTTGCAAGCACTTACGAGCTGCCCCCGTGGATTTCATTAGCAGAATCTTCCTCCCCTGGAGCTTTTGTGTCCTCTTGTTTCCTAATCAGAAAGAACAGAACTGTGCCCACAAGACTGATAACAGTCAGGGCAATGAAGACAGTTCTGCGATCGCTCTCTGGAAAAACAAATTAAAGTCATAACAAGGCATGTAAAAGCAATTCAGACAAAGTCAGCTTCCTTCAAAGAACTAATACAAGCATAATTCAGAGCAGTGTTTAAAATGCTTACTGATTTTCTACGTTACCTTGCATGTGGAACAAATGAACACAGTTACTGGTAAATTCCTACCTCATTTTCACAATGCCAATAAAACATTGACATATTAAAGAGTGCTACTTGCATTTCCTGCCACGAAAGACTATGACTAGGGAAGAGCCAGTTAGCAATGAAATGCATGAATTATTAGCAGGAAAAAAATCTATGTTTCAAGAGATGTATAACTCAGAACCGACATAGGAAGCTACCCCAAAAGCCTGCAGATACCCAAGAATTTGTTCCTTACCAGATATTAGCACTGTAACATCAGATTATTAGAGTTGTAAACTACAAAGGCCTTAACAGCATTGATACCTCAGTAACTGAGGCAGCATACAGTGTGCTACTGGAGGAAGGTAACTGCTTCCCTCTGCACCAGCTCTGGTGCACCACACAACTTGTCTGGCAAAGGAAAGTCTGCAATACCAAAGTTATTCCTATTTGCAAATTAGGCAGGGGAGAAAAATGCTGAAACTTGTAACAGTTGTGATTGAACCAGCAAACAAACACAAAGACATTGCCTGTGCTTGTGTTTAATGGACATTTGCTTAAAGGCAAACAGTAAATTGTTCTATCCCAATTAAAAATAACCTGTGCATGATTATAGATCAAGAAAACGTGCTTCATCTTGAGATGCCTATAATATAGGCAGTAAAAAGGAGGAACTGATTTTCAAGTGCTGTCTGAGCTTCTAATACTAACATCTAGCTTTCAAAAAAGTGTCTCCAGACATTTCAACAGCGTTTTCCATTTGGAAATGTAAGAAGTCACAACAGCAGAACTCCCTCATATTTAATGGCTGCATTCTGTGGTTAGCAATGGCAGTGAAACTTAGAAGGCACAGAACTTCAAGGCCCCCATGAGAGAACATGGGAGCTGACTTCCAAAAATTAACCTGTGCTGTGCTACCAAGCCAAGGCCTATGGAGAACTGAGACAATGCATTTAGCAGAGGCACGAAGTGGAACAGAGGCAGCACTCCTGAAGCCTGATGATTAGCATTTAGATGTCAGTGCCTTATTCCTGAGTGACTATGCTAGAAAGTGGCACCTGTATAATTCTGTTACCATCTTGCCATAGACAAGTAACACCCACCTGATATGTAAGTTTTTCCTTGCCAAGCAAAGTATATATACAGGTTTCCAAAAAACAAGCTGTAAACAAGAAGAGCAACACAGGTGAGCTTTTTGTGGTAGGATTAAGATCACAGCATCACAGTGACACAGCTCTGTGCAAAACCAGTACTGCACAATTGTGGAAGGACAAGAAAGCAGTCACTTCCCTTGCAAACTGTTTATTCTGTAGAGAACTGCAAACACAGGAGAGTATTTTTCACCCTGATGTTCTTCTTAGGAATCAATGCAGAACAAGATAATAACAAATTAACTTAGATGGCCATTTCTTCTCTCTCTCTCACTGTTTTTGGAAGGGTGTAGCTTAGAAAGATGATGTATCTATAGAAATGAATTTGCAGTACTCCCCTACACGAGTCGTGTGTCCCTCTGAAATATTAGTTCAGCAATACTAAACAGGCTGTTAACAGGTTGGGGAAATTCTGTGTTTCTACATGCAGTTCCCTGAAATACATCAGCTCAGAATGAATGGTGACTCAAAACAGCCTTAGAGTGAAATTTCCTCATCTGAACTCAAACATTCTACTCGCTATAAAACACACAATTACTTGAGTTTGTGGAAATCAGGACTGCGCTACACCAAGACATTAATTAATTCCAAAACATGAAACACGAGCAGCACAGCACTGTTTCACACTGCTGTTCCATTAATGCAGCACTCTGTCTCCACACAGCACCAGCTAATGCCATTTACAGCAAGCTCATCAGCCTACCACCGTGACTCATCCCCTGCATTATTTCTCAATACCCAGAAGCACTGTATTAGCAGCATAAGAGCTATCTGCCTTCAGGATACATCTGTGGCCCTACTATCAGGGAGTTCAATCTCTTTTCAGTCCTGCTGACATTATCCAACTCCAAATCCTCCAGCAGGAGGGAATTCTAAAAGTTTTTCACACATCACATAAAAAAAAGCAATTCACCTGTTCCAAATTAATCTTTCCCTAGTTTCAACACATTACCTGAGCTCTAGTACAGCAGTTCTTACTAACAGCTCCACATTCTGCTCAGCTGCCACCTTCCTGTTCTGCTAACCCATGAGTAAAATACTCCTCATTTTACTTCTCTCCAAACTGTCCCAGTCCTTTTATTCTCTCTTCAAATCAACAGCTCTGTTTTCATGCACGTTTCCATCATCTTTTCCTCCAGCAAAGATCCAGAGCAAGTGGAGGCCCAGCACTGAGGTTAAATGGGGCTCTCAGGCAGAGGTGAGATGGAGACACGGTGAGGCCATTCAGGGTCACGAGGGCTCATTAATGAGCTCATGATCCCAATGCAAAACAGCCCTCCAAGACCAAGATATTTGCTAAATGCTCCCTGAACTAACATGTATCTTTTTAGCATGTGAAGAGCAGAGACTTGCAATAGGAAGCTTTCATTCACTGTCTTACAACGCACAACAGCTTTAGAAGCTTTGCTCTAAACTCTCCATGACTGCAAAATACCAGAAATACAGAAACAACAACAAAATCTGCTTACTCTCAAAAGACCTCAGGTAAGCAGAGATCTCTAGCAAAATACCCTCACCTCCACTGCCAACCCTGAAATGAGGTCTGGGAAGGGGTGGACCCTGGCTCCACCCCCTTTGCTCACTCAGGTGTTGCATACACCTAAGCTCCCCTGTGTTGGCCCTGCCTCCTCACCAGGTGCTCCATCACTGCTTCAAGCTGCATTTCCACTACTACAACTAACAAGCTATTACTTAAAGCTTACCTGGACTGCAAGAGTGCCCAAAATACTCCGCTGTTCCTTCCAATGGTGTTTTCATCAGAATTTATAGTCAAGCAATTTCCCTGTGCCGTCCATAGCACTGAAATGTGCAAAAGATATTGGTCAGGAAATAAAAGTGCTTTGGAAGTATATTCAAATAGAGCAAAGAACAGTGAGCAGAATAAGAGCAATGCTTACCTGCAGCTGCAATGCCAATAAAAACAGAAGCAGTATAGAAACTCCACGTAGAAGGCTGGATAAAAACTGCAATGTATAAACTAAAATAGAAGAAATAGATCCATTTATTGAACATAAAACAAAGTGGAATGTCCTTTTTAAGAAACAGCTATCTTACTTAGCTTCTCCTGTGTCATCCACTGTCACCCAAGGTACCATGCAATACAGTTCAGGTTATGTAAAAAAAAAAAGGTAAGCTTTTTACTCCACCAAGAATGGTGAACTTTGTTTATGTAGTCAACAACTTGAGACCACAACATGAACTCCAGTCAGCAAACTGGAAACCATGAGAAAAAAAACACAGTTTCCAGTAGGCTTGAAGTGCGCTGAAGTTACCTACTGCTTCATGTAGCAGCTCAGCATGGTGTTTTCCTTAGCCAGTACAATTTTGTGTTTGATACTGCACTTCCATGTGGAAAAAAAAAGATATTTCAAAGAAATTAAAAATAATACTTACCTATAAAATATGCCACTAATAAACATGGAGAGTTGAGGTCCTACTAGTGCAACCACTGAAGGTGAAATAAGGTTTGATGCTGAGAAAACTCCATAAATAACGGACATACTACATAAACAAACAACAAAGATAGTGAAGTACTAAATGCAGGTTACAAATCAGATTGTTTAAGAAGACTCAGCTGATTCCAAAGTATCAAAATATACATAAGCAACTGCCTCATTTTTATATTCAAACATTTCCTTCCTTTGTGTTGTTAATTACCTTCAACCATTTTACTCCATACAGAAACACTCAAGTGTATCTTGCACTGCTGAATTGAGTCCCAAGCCATTGCAGGCCAGCATATCTTCTAATTTATGACAGGGTTTTGTCAAACTGCCTTAACAAGTTGCTCTATTTTCTGCCCAGTACTTCTAAAGCACAATGTACCAAAACCACTTTTATGTATTAGTGAGCTTTTCATCTTCTGTCAAATGCACCATAAAAATTGTATAGATATATTTTGTAGTAGCTGTAATTTTAGTTTATATTAAGACAGTAAACCTTTCAAAGCAGCATCTGGGTTTTCTTATATGACAGATCAATTTGGTTTACAAAAGCTCCCTGATCATAGTTGGTGAGTCTGGCCAAGTCAGTGCAATAAACATTCAGAGTGGTATTTTACAGCTGAAAACCTTGCTTCTCTTCTTGTCTTTCTGGTTGCTTCTTTCCCAACTATGTTGCAGTATTTCCTACAGGTTGATCCAAACAACCCATATACTACACCAATGCACAGAAGCAGATGGGGCAAACAACCAAGGCCTTAGCAGTTTACTGTCTTTTTTTAAAATCTCCACATTTTTTAAATTTACTAAGATAAAAAGCTGAGAATGTGATGCCTGAATGGTAGTTTTAGTTTTACAAAGAACATACACAAAACAATCACGTAGCTCAATTAGAAACAAGTAATTCAGATTAGGACTGAATGTGAGAGCCATGATTTAAACTGCTTTAAGTATGCCATTAAATCGTGAAGCCAGCAGAGCACTAGAATCTCTTGAGAGTATATCTCTACCAGATGTAATTATAACCAACTTCACCCTGCAAGGAGCAAAGTAGTAAGAAAATGTGTGTGAGTTACCTTGTGTAGCCGCTGCCATGAAAATCTGTGCTGTTTAAATTTGTAATAACTGTTTGCTGTGAGGAGAAATCATGTGCAATATTGTTAGAACATCTTGAAGTCATTTGTAACAGATTGAAGTCGGTGCCAAACATCAAAAATTATCACTAATAGATTCTACTTAAAGCATTAATTACAACTGACAATATCTCCACAATGAAGATGAAGGAGATAGTAGGCAGGGAAAACATCTGTCTGAAGCAGTAATAAAGATTTGGGAATTATATCCTGATTTCACCACAGATCTTACAGTATTTCACAAAATTTCTGTTTCACAAAACATTTCCCTTAGGTATCTACACATTGCTATCTTCATCTAAACAGCGAGGGAGAACAAGCTGAACATTCACTGTATTCTTCATTTATCCAAACTTGGGCTTCAGCTGTGCTAAGAGTTTCCATCCTTGCAGTCTTTCCGTTAACAGCTTGTTCCTTTTTTTCCCCCTTGAATCAGCTTTAGTGATCATGAGACCATGTAATTAGCTGGATTGTCTGGCAGATCTGATTGAAAGTCACTTTTAATGACTTTAATGACAATACATTACATCACTGCACGATCACTAGGCCCAATTCAGTGAGGTGCTGCACGTTCATTGCGTAGCAGAATTTAATCACTGCGCTGTATAATAATTTAACAACAATAACTGTTGTAAGCAATTACTTCTACAGTGTAGAGAAGGACATTTAGATGTTCAAACTCAGAAAGAATTCTTAATGTGCAAGAACAGAGAAGCAAGATGTAGGCTGACGAAAGACTGATACCAAAAGTAATATCAACAACTAAGTTAGAGAAGGTGACTTGGCAGTTCTAGCAGCTGTGTGAGCCTGACTGCTCGTCAGGTGTCAACCTCACACTCCCCTTCAATGTTCAGTTTGTTAAAACAGAAATATAGGTAGCATTAGGAAAGAAACTCCAGCAGAAACTAGGTTTCTAGTTAACGCCTAGGTTAACTAGGGGTTAATAATAACATATTAGGCAGACATTCTGAAAGGGCTTATATACAAAAAAACAGGAATGTGAAAGATACAATAAAAATCAATTGTTACATATGGAATTAAGCAAAACAGGCATTGAAGTTCTAACATTTGACAGGATTACTTAATTTTCCATTGTCTAAGCAATCAGACAGAGTTACACACGTAACTATGATACCTTAAGGAAATAAACTGATTAAGCATCCTGTTAACCAACTTAATCTAGTTAACGCTAAACCAAAAGAAGACAAAATGTCAAAAGCTGCACTGCACATTAAAAATCTCACTACAAACTCACACATCAGACAAAGCACAGAACTGTCACATAGCTGTGGAACGTTTTGATATGCACACCTACCGCAATATTTCCACATGTTTGGAAAGCAGTGAATATAAACATGAATGAGATTCCCAAAATAAGTACGTTGAAAAGTTTTTTTGAGTCAGGAGACATTTTGTGGGTTATTTTGCCAAGCTCTCAGCTTCAGTCTGGAAAAAAATCTATTTCCCTTTAAAAGTTTCCACTTAACTCCTGTTTAAAGAAATAAGAAGAAAAAAATAAAAAAGAATAAACCACCACCAACAAAAAACCCTTAAAAAATGACGATTCCTGAGAGCTACTTGTTAGCTGCTAGGATTTGTTTAAATAACATAGCATAGTCAGTACATTGGAAAAATAAGTGGATAGATACAAAAAGTAAAGATCAAAATTCTTTCTACCTTTTCCCATTAAGTTAAGAGAGCAGACAGCAGTATGTTACTTCTCCATGACATCTCATTCCACCCAAAGAAGCAGTTTTCCAAGCATCGAGATGGTTAATCAGCTGAGTTTCTTGCCATGGAACTAGAATTCTGGTCAAAAGCCAGTAAATCACCTGACAAAGGAAAGACGAGATATTAACACACACAAGTCATTTCCATGCATGCTGGACAGGAAATAAGGAACATTTCACAATACAGATCAGCTGATCCTGCTTAGAAAGCCCTTGTGCACTATGGGAAATGTAGTTTTATCACCGTACCCTTTCTTCTTTATACATGAAAGCACAGACATCTCCTTAGAATCGGAAACATTAATCTAAGAAAAATGTCTAGTTCGTTGGATTCCTACATAGCAAAGGTCACTCTGGAGGGCAAATAATTCCTCAAAAGAGAAACTTCTCAGTATCACCAACACTGAAGTTCTGCTTGGTGCTTTTGCCTTATCTTAGTGACTCTGGAGAAGGAATGGTCTGTATAATATTCCACTGCTTCCTCTCAAGAAACATTCACGTTTAGTAATGTTTCGCTCCTAATATCCTGCTTTACAGTGGTTTTCAGTAATACATTCAAGATCAATTCATATTTTTGATTTGAAACCCTCTGTCAAACTGTCAACAAAACTAACACAGGGTAACACACACCTGGTATGGACGGAATGGCTGCTTGTCACTGTCAGTACCTTGTCTGTATTCTGCATCTCCTGAGTCAGGAGTGGAGCATTCTGCTAATCCAGCGCCATGAACTGCCAGACAAAGAGGAATGGATGACAATTCAGAACTTAAGAAAACGGGAAGTCATAAAGTTTTATTCTTTACTTGTGGAAGAAAGTCGGCTTGACCATACATAGGCTATTTTACAAAGACCAAACAGCAACATCAAGGTGTTGCTTTTAGTGTCAGCAAAGCTCCCTTCCTATATTAAGTATTTAAAATTAGACTGAATTTTTAAATCTAATTTTTACTTTAAGGCATCACTAAACAAACAGACCCTATGTTTCCCTGCCCACAGCCTTTGAGTCCCCCTCACTGGTGTGTGGGGATCATTCTGCTGACAGCAGCTTACACCGAAGGGATTGCCCTTCAGGCAACTGAGGGACACAGGGAACCACCTCAGTCATTTTAAAGAAATCACTGTAAAGATACAGACTTTAAATTCCTCACGAGTGAAAGCATTTCGGCAGATGAATCAGAAAGCAATGAATCCAAACTCTCTGAACAGGAAAAAAAACAATAAAACGCTAATCAATACAGACATGAAAGCCAATCCCAGGTTATTTGATTTCCTAGATCTTTTCAATAGGAAACAACTTGTTGCCTCTGGGTTTGTATCCAAATCACCACTTATTGAACTTGCTTTCTCAGCCTTTTTCTCCCCCATTCATACTAAAACAGCTTTCTTCATTCCTATCCTTTAAAAACAGCTTACAAAACAGACAGGATAGAAACATTTACCACAGCTCAGAGGTAAGAATTAAGCACTGCGGCTGCGCCCAAGGCAGAGAAGCGCCCGCGCAGCGCCGCAGCAGCACCCCCCCCCCCCCCCCCGTATCCGCCATTTTAGGCCGCCTCCTCCCGTGCGGGGGCTTTTCCTTCGCAACGATTTTCTCAATTTTTCTTCACCCCGTAGGGTTTCCAGCTCATCCTTCCCCTCCACCACGACACTCAGCCCTCAACTAGTTTCTTTTTTCTTTTTTCTTTTTTTCCCTTTATAACACATGTTCAAAATTTGCTTTTGCCGATTGCTTCCGGGTCACCGCAGATCCGCCTCAATTGTCACTTTTAAACGCGTACACGCCGTTAATTTAGACACCTACTTTCCCCGCTACTTGCCGGGCTGCCTCAGGGAACCGAGGTCAGGAGTTTAAAAAAAAAAAAAAAAGAAAAGTGCTAAAAGCTGCTCTGTCGCTTCCGGTTTGCGTTCCACCACGCGCGCCACAGGCGCTTTCACTTCCGGGGTAGCGGCGGCCATTTTGTGGCGTTAAGTAGGCGCGCGCGGGCGGCGCCCCGCTCATTTTCTCGCGGCCGCGGGCAGGGCGGTTGTCCTGGCACTGCGTCTCCGTTGCGGCCTTAGGCCTCGTCCTTTTCTCAGAGCCCGAAGGTGGGTGCTTGCTCCTTCCCTCCCCGCCGAGGACCCTGCGGCTTTTCCCTATGCCCTGTAGCTCTCCTCCTTTCTGGACTCTGCGCGGCCGCCGCTCCGGCGCTCCTCCTCCCGTGTGAGGCGCTTCCCGCTCCGGGCCGCGCCGCCTCCAAATTCTCCTCCCTTCCCTCGGGTTTCTTCTCCTCAGCCGCCGCCGCCCCTCGGGGGGCTACAGCCCGCCATGAGCTACGGGCGCCCTCCGCCAGATGTGGAGGGCATGACGTCCCTCAAGGTGGACAACCTGACCTACCGGACGTCCCCGGACACTCTCCGGAGGGTTTTCGAGAAGTACGGCCGTGTGGGCGACGTCTACATCCCCCGGGACCGCTACACCAAGGAGAGCCGCGGCTTCGCTTTCGTCCGTTTCCACGACAAACGCGACGCCGAGGACGCGATGGACGCGATGGACGGGGCCGTGCTGGATGGCCGCGAGCTCCGCGTGCAAATGGCCCGTTACGGCCGCCCCCCGGACTCGCACCACAGCCGCCGCGGCCCTCCACCCCGCCGCTACGGGAGCAGCGG